AGGAAGAAGTCAGCAGGGTAACAAAGCTTTTCTTGTATCTTCTCATGCATCTTTGAAAGGAAATAAGACCTCTTTGCACCTCAGACAAGGTTCTTCTAAATTTAGATAATTTAACCAACCTGGGAGGTTATACCCTTTAAAAATGTGTCTAAAATGAGACTGACTCGCAGTTTGGTGATTAGTTGGATGTCAGTGCTTTATCACATGGTATCTGAATTAGAAAGAATGATGGTTGCCAAACTTGCTGATAATCAAATCTTGGGAGTACACATTGTATGATTCTATCTATATAACATTCTGGAAAAAGCAACACTGTAGGAAGAGAAAAGAGGTGAGTGGTTGCTTGGCATTAAGGAAGGGATTGACTTTTATAAAGGGGTCACATACAGGAATTTTTGTGTAATGAAACTATTGTATATCAAACTGTAGTTGTGGATATGAGTCCATTTCTTTGTCAAAGTCTATACAACAACATATTAAAAGATTAAACTTTACTGTAAGCAAGTTTTATCACCTTCCCAAATCTGAACTATGATGTCAGAAGAATCTCGATGGAATATAGACTATGAATAAGAAATCCTACTGTTTAACAAATGTATGACATAATCTCACTGAAGGAGATGAACAAAAAGGGAGATAGCCTAAGTAATTTTGGAAAATCTTTTTGACTGGATAGTGTAAGGCTAAGACAAAAAGTAGGGGTAGGCTTGGTTATGACCTCCTGTAACCCCAGCTAATTGCAAAGCTGAAGCAGGAGGATCCCAAACTCAAAGTTACCCTGGGCAATTTAGCAAGACCCTCTTTCAAAAATAGAGCTGGGGTCGAGTGTTTGGCTAACATGCACAGGGCTCTGAGTTCAAAGCGCAGTACCGCATAAACCACCACCACAAGAAAACAAATACTTGCTCACAAAAATCAAACAACAAAAAAAATCTGTACTAATAGTACAGAAACAGTATACTTTAGTTGATAAGTTTGTTTCTTACAGGGTTATAAATTATCAGTTATTTTACTACATGTATACTAGGTTTAAGAGTAAATGTAATGATTGCTAGGTATCTTATTGGAGAAAGAAATAGGCATAGGGAAAATGCTAGAATGAAACTTGTGATGCTTCATTCAAGTTATATATGTCAATATCAACTAATGTTTATATTAATTTATATACAGTTATGGAACTAAATATAGAAATGTGTTTATACATGGGTTAGTGTACACACGTGTACTTCTGGTGCTTTTGGTTGAGACATCCTAGAAAGAATGATGCTGCCATAGCAAAAAGCACACTTAGCACCCAGATCTTGGTCTCTACCAATTTTCAATACAAGAAAGCCCAGAACATCTTAAAGTTCCAGAAATATAGCAGTGCTTAAGAAAAAAAGAAAAGAAATGACAGAGCATGTCAACCTGAAAGAGTTCCAGTGGCCAAAACTGTAATAATTTGAGCAATAA